CACCCACTAGTCACATGCAAGGAAGGATGCTCCAGGCCAGGAGGAACAGGAAATTTCGACTGACTGGACAAAACATTCCCTTGCATGCCCACTCTAGGAAAACAAGGAATGTTCCCTTTTCTTTCCTACCAGTCCTTAATTGGATATATTCCTTATTTCCTCTTTTAGACAGCTAAGTTGATGTGATGTGCACTGCATACCAGGGATGATTAATTCAGAGCTTTTTCTCTAGAAATTTCCTTTTTCTGCATGATGACGTTGTGGTTTTCATACTAATTCTTCTTTAACCACAGTGTTGATGGTTTCTGTTTTCACTAAGGAGAAGAAAACCACAATTTGTCGTGTGTTAAAAGATACGCCTTGCATCTCCGGGTGAAGAATCTTGCAGCTTCATCTCTTCTCTTGAATATCGCTTGCTAATGTTAATGCTAATCCTGCTAATGTTTTGACCTGTTTACAATGTCAAGGAAACTATTTTCAAGTACAGCATCTAAGATTTAGGGACCCAGCTTTGGTATTATAGCTATTTCAATAGGGCAGAACTCACTCAACTCAGCATGCTAATTGAGAAGGCCTGCCCTGAGGCACTTTAGAAGAAAAGCTTATATAGTAGTTCGAACACAGAGCCATAAAACATCTTCACAGATGTCAGGAAAGGTGACAGGTCATGAGAAGGAGGGGGGGGGGGATAAAACTTTTTCTTTTTCTACTACGATAATACCTAACACCCCCCCCCCCCAGAAGAACCGTTTACATTATTTACAGCAAGTGAGATGGGAAAATATAAACTGTGTGGAAATAACAATACCATATAACTAAAGCTTTTGTTTTTTGAATCGCTTGGAAGAAGATAAAAGACTCTCCAAATATTGATATTAGAAAGAAGCAGGATCTTGTTAGCAGCTGGAGAGACACCAAAAAACTTTGGATGGACTTTGAGAAGGGTGATGTGACACATTTTTTAATTGGGATCCGCCATTATGGGGTAAGACCGTGTTGCAAAGATAAATAGTCATGGGGGAGGTGAGCTCTTAATTTCTTATTATATCTGTATTTCAAGTCTGATTTGGCAAATCTCCCCTGGAAAGACTAATGTTTGATGCAACCTGTCTGAGAAAATTAATGAGCAAACGCCTAGATTTTATTTCATCAGAACTGAGAGAAGATGGCGTCTGCCACTAGAGAAGGACTTTTGGATTGATTCGGCATAAACACCAGCGTGTGAGGACATTCTGCAAACAATAGACTTACCAGCTGCAAAAAAAGGAGAGTCAAACAAATTTCACACAGAAGCACATTATTGTTTACTTCAACTCGCCTGTGGAAACAACTCAGAGGCCACAAAAGAAGGAAGGATAACAACAGGAAGATTTAAATAAGGACCTATTGGAAACTCAAGGCAGTAGAAACATAAGATGATTAGAGCCCCACTGAACTTGAAGCATGGGAAGCCCCAACAAAAATTTATAATTTGGCAGAATATTTGGACTATATGATATGTATCTATATAATCTGGAATACTTAATGTGATCTGATTGGATTGTTAAAATGGAAAATTTAATAAAAGTTATTATTATTATTTTTAAAAAGAGAAGTACCATATTTTTTGCTACATAACACTCACTTTTTTCCTCCTAGAAAGTAAGGGGAAATGTCTGTGCGTGTTATGGAGCGAATGCCTACGGATGGCGGGGGGATCTGCTGCAGTCGTGAGCAGAGGATCCATGGTTCCCCTTCCTTCCCTCCTCCGTGGCTCACTTTGAAACAGCAAAGCGGAAGAAGAGCCGCTGAGTGGGGAGGAGAGAGGGACAGAGAGCCTGCTTGCTTTAAAGGAGCAAAGCGGGAGAGGAGAGGAGCCTTCTCCTCTTATACCCCTCTTCTGCATTATTAGCAGCATCCTTCTCCACACACCCCAAGCGTGCTCCTTGTCCCTTGAGTGCTTTTCCTTCCCTCCCCCCTTAAAACGTGGTTACAAAGCACGGATCTACATGGATCCTCAGGATTTTTGCACTGGGTCACCCAAATTCACCATCAGATCACATAGCATGTCCATGGCCACAGCTTGCACCAAAAAAATCATGCACCCACTATTGCTTGGGGCCACAGTGGTGCAAAAACGTGGTTACAAAGCATGGATCCACATGGATCTTCAGGATTTTTGCATTGGGCTACCCCAAACTCACCATCAGATCACGTCTGTGGCCACAGCATGAACCAAAAAAATCATACATCCACTGTTTCGTTTAGAATATTTTTTTTCTTGTTTTCCTCCTCTAAAAACTATGTGCGTGTTATGGTCGGGTGCGTGTTATAGAGCAAAAAATACGGTAAATAATGCATGGCTCCGTCTTGACCCCCACATCACCTCAGAGTAGCCCCAATGTGCCCAGGCCATTTGACCACTTTAGGTCTCAGATGTTCAGCGTTACCCTGGCAACTTAGCCTTCAGTGAGGGAAGAGTACCATAAAATCCTCTTTCTGGGTCTCAGAGAGAGCTTCAAGGATAGCTGATTTACCCTCCGGTACGAAAAAAATCCTGCCATTTGTACCACTTTCAGGAGTAGATGAGGAGACACAGAATGCAGTGTAGGAGCAAGGAGACTCACAAATGCAGAACACAGAAAAATCGGATATAGCTATTAATGATAAATTAACATGTGCTATTAAGGTAAGACGGGGAATGTGCAGGAGAAATTGTCAGTGTTTGTAAAAAAGAAAAAAAAGGTTCTGATCTCCCTTTGTCGCCTCAGCCTGGTCCTCGGACCCTTGTCGGCATAAAAGAGTCCACGAGAAGAGTATCCTTGCAGAGTAATTTCTGCTTTTATTCTTAAAGGTCTTTCTGCAAAAGCGACTGACCAACTGTACACACCTCAGCACTGTCAGCTTTCACTAACCAACCAACCAACCAACCCAACAACAAACTAACATTTCTCACTCTATATATACAAGTACAACTCCTTTCCATTTTAACAGTACAAATTCTACAACCGCCTTCCCCATCTCCTCAAAATCCGCAATCTATTTTGCTGATGGTCGTAGAAGCAAGATTGATGGCCAGGGAACATGTTTCCTGGAGTGCTTGAACACTACTCTACCAGAGACTCGGAAAGGGGTCAAACCATTGCAAGAGGTGTTGAAATTTTGAGAGGTTGGATAGTTACAACAGAATGGTCTCGGGGGTGGGGTGCACACTTTTATTTTTATTTATTTATTCTTATTACTTTGTCAAAAGAAAAAAGAAAATTATTAAAAAGAGAAAAACACACACACAATAATCAAGCCTAATACATTCTAAAAGGTTAAATGCAATTTAAGTGAAACACTGAAACATTATTAAATATATTTTATACACACACACACACACACCTGGGGGTTCTAATTCTTATATCACTAACAGGCATAGAGGGTTAAGGCAGCATGGAAGTTGGCGCAGTGCGAATGCACCAGCAGGACTGCTGGATTAGCTCTGCCAATGTGTGTGCACTGCGTCAACCCCTCCACTGCCTCGTCCCCCTCCCTCCCGGCACTTTCTGTCTGCTGTTTTTAGAACGAGCTTGCATTAAAAATCATTTAAGTTTAAATAACTACCCAATGAATCAGGGGCACCTTTTGAGCTGATCAAAAGACTCTTCTAATCAGCTAGTCAAAGCAATTTAAATGAAAAGTAACAGTTGCCATCAAAAACCAATTCTCATTAAAAACTTCCCATTTCTTTCCTACCAGTCCTTAATTGGATATATTCCATATTTCCTCTTTTAGACAGTTAAGTTGATGTGATGTGCACTGCATATCAGGGATGATTAATTCAGGGCTTTTTCTCTAGAAATTTCCTTTTTCTGCATGATGACGTTGTGGTTTTCATACTAATTCTAAGCCCAGGTAAGATACTCCTATTGCTTCTGTTGCTTCTTCTTTAACCACAGTGTTGATGGTTTCTATTTTCACTAGCGGGGGGGGGGGGGGACGGACGACCACAATTTGTCAGGTGTTAAAAGATACGCCTTGCACCTCTGGGTGCAGAATCTTGCAGTTTCATCTCTTCTCTTGACTCTTGCTTGCGGCTACAGTTTGAGTACAGCAAAATAATGTACGTATGCTTCTTGACTTCATAAACATGCTGCACAGCACTAATTCCTCAGCTTGCTGTTAAAATTTCAGAGGATCCAGGACAGACAAAAGGAAGCACATCTCCATCCATCACATATGCACATACAGGGAAAAGTAGGAAATTTAAAAATTTGTAAAGTGAGCAGGAAAAACCCAGGAACTGAATCAGTCTTTCAACGGCCACACTGTTGACTGTAGACCAACTTTTTTTAAAATAACATTTTATAGATTGTCCAAAAATAACAATAACAAAAACAAAACAATTTGACTTCCCTCTAATCCCTTCCTTGGTTCTATTATTTATTGACATAAAGGAAAAGGTAAAGGGACCCCTGACTATTAGGTCCAGTCGTGGCCAACTCTGGGGTTGTGGTGCTCATCTCGCTTTATTGGCCGAGGGAGCCAGCGTACAGCTTCCGGGTCATGTGGCCAGCATGACTAAGTCGCTTCTGGCGAATCAGAGCAGTGCACGGAAACGCCGTTTACCTTCCCGCCGGAGCGGTACCTATTTATCTACTTGCACTTTGACGTGCTTTCGAACTGCTAGGTTGGCAGGAGCAGGGACCGAGCAACGGGAGCTCACCCCGTTGCGGGGATTCGAACCACCAACCTTCTGATCGGCAAATCCTAGGCTCTGTGGTTTAACCCACAGTGCCACCCGCATCCCATTTATCAACATACTGTATGTCTATTACTAAATGACTGTAGACCAACTTTTGCCAACGAGGTGCCCTCCAAATGTTCAGACTAGCGCTGCAATCAGCCCCGGCTTGGAGAAAGCTGCTGCAGAATGTATGGTCAAATGCTTCCTTGCACCGGTTAGGGCCATAAGGCAATGCCACCTGAATGTTTGCTCTCGCTAGCTTTTTCTTAAAGGGAAGGATGACTGCTAATGCTGGATAGCTCAGTTGGTTAGAGCGCGGTGGTGATAACGCTGAGGTTGCAGGTTTGATCCAGCTGCATGTTCCTGCATTGCAGGGGTTGGACTAGAGGATCCCTACCAACATTATTATTCTATGTAAATATACATAGGGACGCAGGTGGCGCTGTAGGTTAAACCACAGAGCCTAGGACTTGCCAATCAGTAGGTCAGCGGTTCGAATCTGCCAACCTAGCAGTTCAAAAGCATGTCAAAGTGCAAGCAGATAAATAGGTACTGCTCCGGTGGGAAGGTAAACGGCATTTCCGTGCACTGCTCTGGTTCATCGGAAGCGGCTTAGTCATGCTGGCCACATGACCCGGAAGCTGTACGTCGGCTCCCTCGGCCAATAAAGTGAGATGAGCGCCGCAACCCCACAGTCGGTCACAACTGGACCTAATGGTCAGGGGTCCCTTTACCTTTACCTTTAAATATACATATGATAGCCAGGTGGTCCTCTTGATTCATGCAAGAGGGTTGTGACTGACTATTGCTAGGTTCACTGGTATGCCAGTCTCTTGTGCAAATTAGTCAGGAGGAAGCTGGATTCAAAAATTTGGTACTCCTTTTTTAAAAAAGCACACACACATTTAACTAGAAACTTCATCCTTAATTAATTAAGGCTTTGCAGTACCAAGCTTGCCCTGATAAATTGCACTGATGGTTGTGATGATTTTTCTCCAGTTGCTGGCAACCCTCTCCCCCAGCTCCCCCCGAAAGGAAAGCTTCTTGTTATAACTGCACATTGAGGATTCTGGTGTTGGCACCACATTGCCGCTTCATTCCTTAGGGATTTAAAAATAGTTCCTGGCTGGCTCGCTCCCCAGCCAGCAGAAAAGATTTAGTATGCAAGCCTAGCTCCCTCTCCCCCCGCCCCCAGTGTAACTCCCTTGGCACCATCACAATTCATTGAGAAATGGCTGGAACAGGGACTGGGGTTCAGCAGGTGTACCATTTTGTTCCTAAAGAGATGGAAGTCCAGAAATGGCTAAATCTCTGAAGTTTCAGGGTGGGTGTGAGGGCAACAGAGCCACTTCCGCCTGAGGAGGTGGGGTTGTGGGCTTCATGGCCCCTCCATGTGCGCGGTGCGCAGAGGCCAGCCCTGTACGATTGAAGAAGAAGAGGAGTTTGGATTTGATATCCCGCCTTTCACTCCCCTTCAGGAGTCTCAAAGCGGCTAACATTCTCCTTTCCCTTCCTCCCCCACAACAAACACTCTGTGAGGTGAGTGGGGCTGAGAGACTTCAAAGAAGTGTGACTGGCCCAAGGTCACCCAGCAGCTGCATGTGGAGGAGCGGAGACACAAACCCGGTTTCCCAGATTACGAGACTACCGCTCTTAACCACTACACCACACTGGCTCTTGGGGGGATTCCTGGCCGTGTCATCCCCTGGCTGGCCAATCGGCTGGCTCGGGGGGCATGGCCTGCCCTATTTAATGCAGGTGCGGCTGGGGATCTCCCTCTTTGCCGCCTGCCAGCTGTTCCTGCTTTTCCCACCCTCCCACCCTATAAGATTTTCATTCCTTGGCCTTGGTTGGTCGTCGTTGAGGGGCCTGGTAGGAATTTTTCCACTTGGCAAATTGGTACCAGCCACTTGGTTTTCGCCTACCTCGTAGCAAATCGTCACAACTTTCTGGGTATTGGCAGTTAGACATTGGTATTGTTCTGTAGATGGAAGAAGGGAGGTCGCGCCATCACCTGCCCCGCATATAGAAGGGTAGTCCGATAAAGGATTCCAGGGGACGTGGCCCTGTCCAAAGCCTAAGGAGGTGAGGGCCCAAGGCACACCCCCTATCAGTGACCCTGGGGGAGTTCCTAGTTGATGTGCATCAGGAGGACTCCCCCTACTGGTGGTTAACCCTTCCTGGACTTCATGCAGACGGACTGGAGTCGGATATAGTTGGTTAGGACCAATGCCTAAGCCAATACCGACTCTTCATCTGTAACCAATAAAGCTGTGGCCTTTTTTTAGTCCATTAACCTTAATAATTGCGTCATGTGTCATTATTTCCACCTGGGGGGGACGGGAACTCGCCACGCAACACCCTTGAGATCTTTCTCCGGTGCCCAGGAGGCGTCCAAGTCCCTGTTCTCTTCCTCCTTGGCCATGGGATGGCAAGGGCGATGACCTTACCTTCTGTGAAATGTACCTGTGAAATGTACCTAGAACTGAAGGCGGAAGTGTGAAATCTGACACTTTCTCACTTCCTCTTTCATCTCAATGTGCCTTTCAAAGCTCAGATTCATTCTTTTGCCCAGTACCCTTCAAGAATCAAAGTTTGTGAGTGAGCATTTTGTCTGTTTCTGCACGATGTGGGGAGGGGTGGTTTGACCTAAGGGAGGAAGAGAGAAGAGACCAGAGGGGGTGGCACCTGCAACACTTGCTCAGGGATCCAGATGTGCCCATGGGGATGAGCGAGAGATTGGCTCTGGCAGGGAGTTGAAGGAGTAGCTCCTGCTACGACTTGATTGCCAGCTGGGCAAAAGACAGAATGAAATAAAAACACCCAGTGGTGCTGGTGGAGAGCAAGAATGCCTACTAAAGGGAGGATGCAGAGAGCACTGAGAACCAGTTTGGTCCAGCGGTTAGAGTGTTGGACTAGGACATGGGAGACCAGGGTTCGAATCCGCACCGGGACATAAAGCTCAGTGGGTGACATTGGGCCAGTCACTGTATTCTTTCAGCCTCATCTACCTCACAGGGTTGTTGTGGAGATTACATCAGGAGGGGGAGAACCTTGAGATGGTGGCTTATAAAGAAATAAAATTCTTAGCTGAGCTTGCTGGAGCCAGCATTGTAGAGTTCAATTAGTGACTGAATGGTCATCCGGAGCCTTACAGCTCTGTAGAAGTGGTCAGATTTGGACGTTCATTAATCTAAAAATGCAACCACCACAGAAAAGGGGTTGGCGGGGAAGTGACCCCCTCCATATTGGTAATTGAGAGTCAGAAACCCTTGTGAGTTTGGAACCATTCAGGCACCAGAAATCCTCGCTTCTCTACCTCAGACCATCTAGAAATCTGCCAGTAGATTCTTCTTCCACACGGAGTTGCCTGAAGTTAAAAAGAAAGGAAAAGAGGAAGACTGAACAAATGAGGGGAGGGCAATTTCTGGATAACAGGTTTGACTTGCAAATATTACCCACTCACAGTTGGGCAAAGAGAGGAGATGTTGGCACGCTGACAAAAGAAGGTTCTTCAGAATGGAGGTTTGGGCTTTGGGCAAGTTTGCCTAGGCTTTCTGCTCTCTCTGTGTGTGAGAGAAACAAAGAACCTTTGCAACTCGAATGTATATTGTCTAATAGTAAAATACCCATCACTCTTGGCGGGTGGTATCAGAACCAGCCCTGCCATTGGGCAAAGTGAGGCGGTTACCTCAGGCAGTAGATGCTGTGGAGTGGGCAATAGCAGCTAGATGTTTGAGGGCACAGATGTTTGAGGGCAATAGCAGCTAGATGTTTGAGGGCAACTTGATTTGCCTTGTACTACCCTGCTGGCCTCACATGCAGTGAAAGGCGTTGTCATCCCATCACCAGAGTTAAAGTAAGATTCAGCGGCTGGTCTCATCAGCTCCCAAGAATGGGAGATGACACTATCTTGCCCTTTGCCTCAGGTAGAAAAATGTCTTGGACCAGGCCTGGGTGGTATATATGAGAGTCTGCTTGTACATAAGTGCAGGACAAGCAATACATTCTGTTTCCAATTTCAGTTCATTTCTGAGCTCAGTTTAAACTGATACCTTTGCTTTATAAAGCCTTATATAGCTATCTTCTGGGCCATCTCTCTCTCTCTCTCTCTCTCTCTGTACCTTGCTTAGAAAGTCAAGTTAATTTTAATCCGTTTTAGTATTTTAACTTTCATACGTTTTAAAGGAGGAGTGCAATTTTTAAAAATTGGTTTTACTCTTTTATCTTTTGCAAACCGCTTTGAGTTTTATGTGTGTGTTTATAATCAAGCGATGTGTAAGTTTCACAAAATAAAATAATCACCTGAGACTCTTCTCTGTGTGCCACCTCCAACAGAATTTCAGGGGCAGCGACAAGAGAACAGGTCTTTTCACTGATGGTAAAAGTTGATGCATTCCAGTCAGGCAAAAATACTCCATGAAGATATGAAATATGGTGGCTGAGGGGTGTGGTCTGTGGAGAGGGGTGTGGCTGAGGAGGGGTTTGTGACATGGGGGAGAGTCCCCAAGGCCAGATGGAGAGGCCTGGGGTAGCAAATTTGGCCCCAGGCCTGAGATCCAGTCCAAAGGGGCTCCATCCATGCAGGCTGCCCAGTTGCCCCTTCCAGTTGAAATGGGCAATAGAGGCTTCTGAGTTGGTCTAGGGCAGGCACGTCCAACAGGTAGATCACAGGGTGTTCCTGGTAGATCTCTGGTCCCTCAGGGATCTCCTTCCCCACAAAATAAAATTAAAAAAGAATTAAAAAAAGCTCAACCACTCTGGCTTCCTAAGAAATAGCAACAATAATAATAATAATAATAATAATAATAATAATAATAATAATATATTATTTATACCCCGCCCACCTGGCTGGGTTTCCCCAGCCACTCTGGGCGGCTTCCAACAAAACACTAAAATACAATAATCTATTAAACATTAAAAGCTGAACAACTTTGCCTTTCCAAAGAAAGCTCAGCAACTTCTGCTTCCTAGCAAAAAAAGCGGACCATCAGATTAAGGTCCACTATTTGACTCCGGATTCAGGACCCTCAACTGTGTGTTTTATATAAACCACTTTTTATTATGTTCTGTGTATATCACAATGCTGATTCAGTTTCATTCATTCATATACAGTGGTACCTCGGGTTAAGAACTTAATTCATTCCAGAGGTCCATTCTTAACCTGAAATGGTTCTTAACCTGAGGCGCGCTTTTGCTAATGGGGCCTCCTGCTGCCGCTGCACTGCTAGTGCGCGATTTCCGTTGCAAAGTTCTTAACCTGGAGCAACCACTTCCTGGTCAGTGGAGTTTGTAACCCGAAGCGTCTGTAACCTGAAGTGTCTGAAACCACTGTATTCAGTTCCATTCATTCATTTGCTTCCTAAAAA